TCGGTGAGGGACTCTTCAGAGGCATGGTAGATCCTCGGTGAGGGACTCTTCAGAGGCATGGTAGATCCTCGGTGAGGGACTCTTCAGAGGCATGGTAGATCCTCGGTGAGGGACTCTTCAGAGGCATGGTAGATCCTCGGTGAGGGACTCTTCAGAGGCATGGTAGATCCTCGGTGAGGGACTCTTCAGAGGCATGGTAGATCCTCGGTGAGGGACTCTTCAGAGGCATGGTAGATCCTCGGTGAGGGACTCTTCAGAGGCATGGTAGATCCTCGGTGAGGGACTCTTCAGAGGCATGGTAGATCCTCGGTGAGGGACTCTTCAGAGGCATGGTAGATCCTCGGTGAGGGACTCTTCAGAGGCATGGTAGATCCTCGGTGAGGGACTCTTCAGAGGCATGGTAGATCCTCGGTGAGGGACTCTTCAGAGGCATGGTAGATCCTCGGTGAGGGACTCTTCAGAGGCATGGTAGATCCTCGGTGAGGGACTCTTTCAGAGGCATGGTAGATCCTCGGTGAGGGACTCTTCAGAGGCATGGTAGATCCTCGGTGAGGGACTCTTCAGAGGCATGGTAGATCCTCGGTGAGGGACTCTTCAGAGGCATGGTAGATCCTCGGTGAGGGACTCTTCAGAGGCATGGTAGATCCTCGGTGAGGGACTCTTCAGAGGCATGGTAGATCCTCGGTGAGGGACCTTCAGAGGCATGGTAGATCCTCGGTGAGGGACTCTTCAGAGGCATGGTAGATCCTCGGTGAGGGACTCTTCAGAGGCATGGTAAGATCCTCGGTGAGGGACTCTTCAGAGGTATGGTAGATCCTCGGTGAGGGACTCTTCAGAGGCATGGTAGATCCTCGGTGAGGGACTCTTCAGAGGCTGGTAGATCCTCGGTGAGGACTCTTCAGAGGCATTGTAGATCCTCGGTGAGGGACTCTTCAGAGGCATGGTAGATCCTCGGTGAGGGACTCTTCAGAGGCATGGTAGATCCTCGGTGAGGGACTCTTCAGAGGCATGGTAGATCCTCGGTGAGGGACTCTTCAGAGGCATGGTAGATCCTCGGTGAGGGACTCTTCAGAGGCATGGTAGATCCTCGGTGAGGGACTCTTCAGAGGCATGGTAGATCCCGGTGAGGGACTCTTCAGAGGCATGGTAGATCCTCGGTGAGGGACTCTTCAGAGGCATGGTAGATCCTCGGTGAGGGACTCTTCAGAGGCATGGTAGATCCTCGGTGAGGGACTCTTCAGAGGCATGGTAGATCTCGGTGAGGGACTCTTCAGAGGCATGGTAGATCCTCGGTGAGGGACTCTTTCAGAGGCATGGTAGATCCTCGGTGAGGGACTCTTCAGAGGCATGGTAGATCCTCGGTGAGGGACTCTTCAGAGGCATGGTAGATCCTCGGTGAGGGACTCTTCAAGGCATGGTAGATCCTCGGTGAGGACTCTTCAGAGGCATGGTAGATCCTCGGTGAGGGACTCTTCAGAGGCATGGTAGATCCTCGGTGAGGGACTCTTCAGAGGCATGGTAGATCCTCGGTGAGGGACTCTTCAGAGGCATGGTAGATCCTCGGTGAGGGACTCTTCAGAGGCATGGTAGATCCTCGGTGAGGGACTCTTCAGAGGCATGGTAGATCCTCGGTGAGGGACTCTTCAGAGGCATGGTAGATCCTCGGTGAGGGACTCTTCAGAGGCATGGTAGATCCTCGGTGAGGGACTCTTCAGAGGCATGGTAGATCCTCGGTGAGGGACTCTTCAGAGGCATGGTAGATCCTCGGTGAGGACTCTTCAGAGGCATGGTTATGATCCTCGGTGAGGGACTCTTCAGAGGCATGGTAGATCCTCGGTGAGGGACTCTTCAGAGGCATGGTAGATCCTCGGTGAGGGACTCTTCAGAGGCATGGTAGATCCTCGGTGAGGGACCTTCAGAGGCATGGTAGATCCTCGGTGAGGGACTCTTCAGAGGCATGGTAGATCCTCGGTGAGGGACTCTTCAGAGGCATGGTAGATCCTCGGTGAGGGACTCTTCAGAGGTATGACAGATCCTCGGTGAGGGACTCTTCAGAGGCATGGTAGATCCTCGGTGAGGGACTCTTCAGAGGCATGGTAGATCCTCGGTGAGGGACTCTTCAGAGGCATTGTAGATCCTCGGTGAGGGACTCTTCAAGGGCATGGTAGATCCTTGGTGAGGGACTCTTCAGAGGCATGGTAGATCCTCGGTGAGGGACTCTTCAGGAGCATGGTAGATCCTCGGTGAGGGACTCTTCAGAGGCATGGTAGATCCTCGGTGAGGGACTCTTCAGAGGCATGGTAGATCCTCGGTGAGGGACTCTTCAGAGGCATGGTAGATCCCCGGTGAGGGACTCTTCAGAGGCATGGCAGATCCTCGGTGAGGGACTCTTCAGAGGCATGGTAGATCCTCGGTGAGGGACTCTTCAGAGGCATGGTAGATATTCGGTGAGGGACTCTTCAGAGGCATGGTAGATCATCGGTGAGGGACTCTTCAGAGGCATGGCAGATCCTCGGTGAGGGACTCTTCAGAGGCATGGTAGATCCTCGGTGAGGGACTCTTCAGAGGCATGGTAGATCCTCGGTGAGGGACTCTTCAGAGGCATGGTAGATCCTCGGTGATGGACTCTTCAAGAGCATGGTAGATCCTCGGTGAGGGACTCTTCAGAGGCATGGTAGATCCTCGGTGAGGGACTCTTCAGAGGCATGGTAGATCCTCGGTGAGGGACTCTTCAGAGGCATGGTAGATCCTCGGTGAGGGACTCTTCAGAGGCATGGTAGATCCTCGGTGAGGGACTCTTCAGAGGCATGGTAGATCCTCGGTGAGGGACTCTTCAGAGGCATGGTAGATCCTCGGTGAGGGACTCTTCAGAGGCATGGTAGATCCTCGGTGAGGGACTCTTCAGAGGCATGGTAGATCCTCGGTGAGGGACTCTTCAGAGGCATGGTAGATCCTCGGTGAGGGACTCTTCAGAGGCATGGTAGATCCTCGGTGAGGGACTCTTCAGAGGCATGGTAGATCCTCGGTGAGGGACTCTTCAGAGGCATGGCAGATCCTCGGTGAGGGACTCTTCAGAGGCATGGTAGATCCTCGGTGAGGGACTCTTCAGAGGCATGGTAGATCCTCGGTGAGGGGCTCTTCAGAGGCATGGCAGATCCTCGGTGAGGGACTCTTCAGAGGCATGGTAGATCCTCGGTGAGGGACTCTTCAGAGGCATGGTAGATCCTCGGTGAGGGACTCTTCAGAGGCATGGTAGATCCTCGGTGAGGGACTCTTCAGAGGCATGGTAGATCCTCGGTGAGGGACTCTTCAGAGGCATGGTAGATCCTCGGTGAGGGACTCTTCAGAGGCATGGAAGATCCTCGGTGAGGGACTCTTCAGAGGCATCGTAGATCCTCAGTGAGGGACTCTTCAGAGGCATGGTAGATCCTCGGTGAGGGACTCTTCAGAGGCATGGTAGATCCTCGGTGAGGGACTCTTCAGAGGCATGGTAGATCCTCGGTGAGGGACTCTTCAGAGGCATGGTAGATCCTCGGTGAGGGACTCTTCAGAGGCATGGTAGATCCTCGGTGAAGGGACTCTTCAGAGGCATGGTAATCCTCGGTGAGGGACTCTTCAGAGGCATGGTAGATCCTCGGTGAGGGACTCTTCAGAGGCATGGTAGATCCTCGGTGAGGGACTCTTCAAGGGCATGGTAGATCCTCGGTGAGGGACTCTTCAGAGGCATGGTAGATCCTCGGTGAGGGACTCTTCAGAGGCATGGTATATCCTCGGTGAGGGACTCTTCAGAGGCATGGTAGATCCTCGGTGAGGGACTCTTCAGAGGCATGGTAGATCCTCGGTGAGGGACTCTTCAGAGGCATGGTAGATCCTCGGTGAGGGACTCTTCAGAGGCATGGTAGATCCTCGGTGAGGGACTCTTCAGAGGCATAGTAGATCCTCGGTGAGGGACTCTTCAGAGGCATGGTAGATCGTCGGTGAGGGACTCTTCAGAGGCATGGTAGATCCTCGGTGAGGGACTCTTCAGAGGCATGGTAGATCCTCGGTGAGGGACTCTTCAGAGGCATGGTAGATCCTCGGTGAGGGACTCTTCAGAGGCATGGTAGATCCTCGGTGAGGGACTCTTCAGAGGCATGGTAGATCCTCGGTGAGGGACTCTTCAGAGGCATGGTAGATCCTCGGTGAGGGACTCTTCAGAGGCATGGTAGATCCTCGGTGAGGGACTCTTCAGGCAGGCATGGTGAGATCTCACGGTGAGGGACTCTTCAGAGGCATGGTAGATCCTCTGTGAGGGACTCTTCAGAGGCATGGTAGATCCTCGGTGATGGACTCTTCAGAGGCATGGTAGATCCTCGGTGAGGGACTCTTCAGAGGCATGGTAGATCCTCGGTGAGGGACTCTTCAAGGGCATGGTAGATCCTCGGTGAGGGACTCTTCAAGGGCATGGTAGATCCTCGGTGAGGGACTCTTCAGAGGCATGGTAGATCCTCGGTGAGGGACTCTTCAGTCCAAGCCGCTGGAATTACTCTACAGTTTTTCGTACCAAACCAAATCTTCCTCAGGTACTGTGTGATTTCCACTGATTTAGCGTTTCGCTATGACTGTATTAATAATAAAATAAGAGCTTCTCTTCATTGTTGAGGATGATAATACAGGATGCCTTCTGAATCTTGAGACTGCACCACATGCAGTGTCAACACCTGCAGTGCCAATACCTGCAGTGTGAACACCTGCAGTGTGAAAACCTGCAGTGTGAACACCTGCAGTGTGAACACATGCAGTGCCAACACCTACAGTGTCAACACCTGCAGTGCCAACGCCTGTCGTATCAATACCTGCAGTCTCGCCAGACTGTAACCATTTTAGTAAACTTAATCGTGTCTCCTATAGTAAAGGGTAAAGTGGGAAGTTTGGTCACGTTTCCACCAGAAAACAAATTCTATCATGTATTGTTAATACATTTCTCTTTCTCCTAACGATATTTCGCTCCAACCCTGCAGGCACTGTGCATGTCCTTCCTCTTCTACGAGGCCCAGAGGTCAGGTCACCTGCCTGACACACAGAGGGTCACCTGGAGGTGGGACTCAGCTCTTGATGACGGCTCTGATGTGGGTCACGACCTAACTGGAGGATATTATGATGGTGAGGGAGAGAGAAAATGGGAGAATGAGACAGAGGGTGAGAGAGAGTGAGAGGGAAAGAAAGAGGGAAGAACAGCAACGAATAAAAAAGTGAGGGTGATAATGAGGGACAAGAGTACATGGGAGTACATAGGAAGGACAGATAGCAGAGGACTTAAAAAATCTTCACCGAGGTTATCTGTTGAGAAGGAATATCTAATTCTAGCTAAATTAAAGACTGTCGTGCATTATCTGTTTGTGAGACACGGATTTGAAAGCGGAAGGCTCTCTACCCACCAAGGTGAGGGAGGGCCGTAAGCCGAAGAAGGTGGAGGAGGAGCGATAACCAAAGGCAATGGAAATTATGATGAAAGAGAGAGAAGGGGGAAAGGGGAGAAGATAAAGAAGAATGGGAGAGAGAGCACGAGGAGGGGGGGTACTGAAGAGGATAATGATGGGAAAGATGCAGAAATGTACCGTGAGAAAAACACATAAAAACAAACAAAAAGTTTTATTTCTTTGCATATGTTACAATGTGTTAATACATATAAAACTTGTTGATAGGTACAAACAAAACCACTAACTTACCTTACTTTTGATATACCTTTGAAGAATTTCGAGAGTATATCTACCCTCTGAGCCCGGCCATGGGCCAGGCTCGTTTGGTGCTCGCCTGGTCAACCAGGCTGTTGCTGCTGGAGGCCCGCTGCCCCACATATCCATCACAGCCTGGTTGATCTGGCACCTGGTGAAAATACTTGTCTAGTTTCCTCTTGAAGGCTTCTACACTTGTTCCAGCAGTGTTTCTGATATCTTCTGGTAAGATGTTGAAAAGTCTGGGACCCCGGATGTTGATACGGTGTTCCCTTATTGTCCCCACCGCACCCCTGCTCCTTACTGGGTTTATTTTACACTTCCTCCCATATCTCTCACTCCAGTATGTTGTTATGGCAGTGTGCAGATTTGGGACCAAGCCCTCGAGTACCTTCCAGGTATATATTATCATGTATCTCTCTCTCCTCCGCTCCAATGAGTACATATTCAAGACTTGCAGGCGTTCCCAGTAGTTCAAGTGCTTTACTGGCTCAATGCGAGCCGTAAACGATCTCTGTATTTGTTCCAGCTCCGATATTTCTCCTGCCCTGAACGGGGCCGTCAGCACTGAGCAATATTCTAAGTGAGGGAGCACTAGCGATTTGAAGAGTGTCACCATCGGCATTGTTTCCCTTGTTTTAAAAGTTCTCAATACCCACCCCGTCATCTTCCTGGCTGTCGTGATCTTTGTCTTGTTATGGTCTTTAAAAGAAAGGTCCCCTGACATAAATATTCCCAGGTCTTTTACGTGTTCCTTACGTTCTATTTGGTGACACTCTTGAGTTTTGTATATAGTGCTCCTTTTGAGTTCTTCATTCTTTCCATACCTAACAGGTGGAACTTATCACCATTGAACGTCATGTTGTTCTCCACTGTCCACTGGAAAACCCTGTTTAAGTCTTCCTGTACTTTTTCAGTGTCCTCTACCGTACTGACTGTCATGCTTATTTTAGTGTCATTTGCAAATGATGATACAGAAGTGTGCCGGGTGTTTTTGTCTATGTCTGCTATGAGGATGAGGAACAGCTGAGGTGCCAGGACAGACACTGATATATGGAAACTTACAGTCACACACACACACACACACACACACACACACACACACACACACACACACACACACACACACACACACACACACACACACACATATACACAATCATTCAAGACACTGTACACCGTGTATGTCAGGCCCATACTGGAGTATGCAGCACCTGTTTGGAACCCGCACTTGATAAAGCACGTCAAGAAACTAGAGAAAGTACAAAGGTTTGCGACAAGGTTAGTTCCAGAGCTATGGGGAATGTCCTATGAAGAAAGATTAAGGGAAATCGGCCTGACGACACTGGAGGACAGGAGGGTCAGGGGAGACATGATAACGACATATAAAATACTGCGTGGAATAGACAAGGTGGACAAAGACAGGATGTTCCAGGGAGGAGACACAGAAACAAGAGGCCACAATTGGAAGTTGAAGACACAAATGAGTCAGAGAGATAGTAGGAAGTATTTCTTCAGTCATAGAGTTGTAAGGCAGTGGAATAGCCTAGAAAATGACGTAGTGGAGGCAGGAACCATACACAGTTTTAAGACGAGGTTTGATAAAGCTCATGGAGCGGGGAGAGAGAGGGCCCAGTAGCAACCGGTGAAGAGGCGGGGCCAGGAAGGAATCGTTCAAGACACTGTACACTGTGTATGTTAGGCCCATACTGGAGTATGCAGCACCAGTCTGGAACCCACACCTGGTCAAGCACGTCAAGAAGTTAGAGAAAGTACAAAGGTTTGCAACAAGGCTAGTCCCAGAGCTCAAGGGAATGTCGTACGAGGAAAGGTTAAGGGAAATCGGACTGACGACACTGGAGGACAGAAGGGTCAGGGGAGACATGATAACGACATACAAGATACTGCGGGGAATAGACAAGGTGGACAGAGATAGGATGTTCCAGAGAGGGGACACAGGGACAAGGGGTCACAACTGGAAGCTGAAGACTCAGACGAGTCACAGGGACTTTAGGAAGTATTTCTTCAGTCATAGAGTTGTCAGCAAGTGGAATAGCCTAGCAAGTGAAGTAGTGGAGGCAGGAACCATACACAGTTTTAAGAAGAGGTTTGACAAAGCTCAGGAAGCAGAGAGAGGATCCAGTAGCGATCAGTGAAGAGGCGGGGCCAGGAGCTGAGTCTCGACCCATGCAACCACAATTAGGTGAGTACAATTAGGTGAGTACAATTAGGTGAGTACACACACACACACACACACACACACACACACACACACACACACACACACATACACACACATATACACACACACACACACACACACACACACACACACACACACACACACACACACACACACACACACACACACACACACACACACGGGGTTCCCGAAACATAGAGAGCCAAGATGATGGAAGTGATACTGGAAAACCTCATGCATCAACATGTTTAGGATACTACCAGAGAGGGGAGGATGAGCCAGCAAGACTGGACCTTGTGTTCACCCTGAGCAGTTCAGACATTGAGGACATCACATACGAGAGGCCCCTAGGAGCTAGTGATCACGTAGTTCTGTGCTTTGAATACATAATAGAGTTACAAGTGGAGACGGTAACAGGAGTTGACTGAGAAAAGCCAGACAGGTTTGAGGAACTTCCTGCAGGAGGTTCAGTGGGGCAGAACTGGCAAGAAAGTCAGTAAACGAAATGATGGAATACGTAACAAGAAAATGCAAGGAGGCAGGGTAAAGGTTTGTTCCTAAGGGCAACAGAAATAATGGGAAGACTAGAACGAGCCCTGGTTTACCCGAAGGTGCAGGGAGGCAAAAACTAAGTGCACTAGAGAATGGAAAAAGTACAGAAGGCCAAGAACACGGGAAAATAAGGAGATTAGCCGAAGAGACAGAAACAAGTATGCACAGGTAAGGAGGGAGGCCCAGAGACAATATGAAAACAACATAGCATCGAAACTCAAGTCTGACCCGAAACTGCTGTATAGCCACATCAGGAGGAAGACAATAGTCAAAGACCACTTGATCAGGCTGAAGAAAGAAGGTGGAGAACTCACAAGAAACGATCATGAGGTATGTGAGGAGCTCAACACTAGATTTAAGGAAGTATTTGGAGACAGGAAGGGCTCTGGGAAGACAGCACAGAGGGGAACACCATCAGGGAATATATCAACAAGTGTTGGATGACATACATACAACGCGGGAAGAGATGCAGAAGCTGCTAAGTGACCTTGATACTTCAAAAGCGATGGGACCGGACATCTCCCCGTGGGTCCTTAGAGAAGGAAAAGCTACGCTGTGTGTGCCACTAATCACAATCTTCAACACATCCCTTGAATATTAAAATGGTATAAAATACCGACAGGTTGTTAGGTAAGACACATATGCAACAGTTAGGTATCTTTATTATGAAACGTTTCGCCTACACAGTAGGCTTCTTCAGTCAAGTACAGAAAAGTTGATTGAAGCAGAAGATACATGAAGACGATGTAATCAGTCCATCACCCTTAAAGTTTTGAGGTGGTCAGTCCCTCAGTCTGGAGAAGAGCATTGTTCCATAGTATGAAACATTGTTTCATACTATGGAACAATGCTCTTCTCCAGACTGAGGGACTGACCACCTCAAAACTTTAAGGGTGATGGACTGATTACATCGTCTTCATGTATCTTCTGCTTCAATCAACTTTTCTGTACTTGACTGAAGAAGCCTACTGTGTAGGCGAAACGTTTCATAATAAAGATACCTAACTGTTGCATATGTGTCTTACCTAACATCCCTTGAAACTGGGCAACTACCTGATGTATTGAAGACGGCAAATGTAGTCCACATCTTTAAGAAAGGAGACATAAACGAGACACTAAACTATAGACCAGAGTCACTGACGTGTATACTATGCAGTGCCATGGAGAAGATTATCAGGAGGAGAGTGGTGGAGCACCTGGAACAGAACAAGATTATAAACGACAATCAGCATGGATTCAGGGAAGACAAATCCTGTGTTACAAACCTTCTGGAGTTTTATGACAAAGTAACAGAAGTAAGACACGAGAGAGAGGAGTGGGTTGATTGCATTTTCCTAGACTGCAGGAAGGCCTTTGACACAGTTCCTCACATGAGATCAGTGCAGAAGCTGGAGGATCCGGCGCATACAACAAGAAGGCCACTGCAATCTATCAGAGAATACCTGACAGGGAGACAACAACGAGTCATGGTACGTGATGAGGTATCACAGTGGGCGCCTGTGACGAGCGGGGTCCCACAGGGGTCAGTCCTAGGACCAGTGCTATTTTTGGTATATGTGAATGACATGATGGAAAGGATAGACTCAGAAGTGTCCCTGTTCGCAGATGATGTGAAGTTAATGAGGAGAATTAAATCAGATGAGGATCAGGCAGGACTACAAAGAGACCTGGAC